TCGGTGGGCGACGTGGCCGTCGGTAGTTATCCAGTCCGGACGGAATTTGTTTTCCCCTAAGAGTGCTTTTGTTAGAGTTAATACCAGACAGAATAGTTTTTTTTTCCGCAAAGAGTGCTTTTGTTAGAGTCAAATGTCTAGGAATGTAACTAACCTAATAAGCCCCTTAGCGCCTGCAACATCAACTTGGAAGATGGGGAAGAAACATCTCCTTGGTAGAAACAAAGCCTTTCACCATTCACTTCAATCCAACTGCATCCTGGTGTCTTAACCGCCACCAAATCCCTCATCTTCCTCCTCATTTCAGCCACACCATCCCAATTCCCAGCCCTCTCATAGATGCTGCAGAGCGCCACACAGTTGCTCGGATTCCCCGGCTCCAATTCAAACAACTTTCTTGCTGCAATCTCCCCAACCTCAACATTCTGGTGCACCGCACACGCACCAAGTAACGCCCCCCAAATGCTTCCCGCCGGTTCCATCTCCATCCTCCCAATAAATTCAAGCGCCTCCACAAATCTCCCGTGGCGACCGAGAAGGTCCACCATGCAAGCATAGTGCTCGACGCTCGGCTCCAAACCGTACACTCTGTTTATTGAAACGAATGCTGCACGCCCTTCATCGATGAGACCAGAATGACTGCAGCTCGACAGCACCGAAGTGAATAGAACGGAATTGGGCTCCAATCCTTCTCTTCTCATCTCCTCGTAGAGCCTCAGAGCCTCCTTTCCTCGACCGTGCATGCCGTAACCTGATATCAAGATCGACCAGGTTACGAGATTTCTGACTCGCATTCGCGAAAAGAGGTGGAGGGAAGCATCCAAGAATCCGCATTTGGAATACATATCGATCAATGAATTGCTAAGTACGGCATCAGATTCCAATACCAAACACCTGATTGCTCTGCCATGAACCTCCTTCCCTTTCCTCAAATCTCCACTCTGGCTGCAGGCACTGAGCACGCTCGGGAGCGCCATCCAATCCGCATCACCTGCTTCGAACTGAGACTTCTGGAATAAATTGAACGCCTCAGCGAGCAATCCGGCTTTTGTAAATCCGGTAACCATGGCATTCCAAACAACTCCATCTTTCTCGGGCATTTCTTCGAACATCTTTCGGGCATCGACCAACCACCCGCATTTCAAATACATGTCGACAATACAACCGCTGACGATAAGGTGGACGTTGAGAGCCATTTCGACGGCAAGCGCATGGAGTGCGGCCCCTGTGCGGCCATGGTCGAGACCAGCGGAGGCTTTGAGAAGGGAAGGTAAAGTGAAGTGATCAGGACGGAGACCGGAGGCAAGTAAGGGGTGGAGGAGAGCGAGGGAATGGTGGAAGAGAGAGGATTGCGCGTAGGAAGAGAGGAGGATGTTCCAGGAGTGAAGAGGGCGATGAGGCATACGGTCGAACACTTGGCGGGCGATGAGGAGGCGGCCGCAGCGCGCGTACATGAGGAGGAGGTCGGTCTCGAGGGTGGAGTGAGGGATGAGGCCGGAGACGAGGGCATGTCGATGGGCTTGCTTCCCTGATCCTAGAACAGAAGCAGCGGCGCATTTCCGTAATATAGAGGAGAGTTGCGCCGGGGTGGTGTTGGGATGCACCATTCGATTATTATTTATATATCTAACCTCCTCAACATAGATATGTAAATACATAAGAATTATGTGGTATGCATGTATATTTCCCTAATATAAATTATAAGAATGTGATGGAAAAGAAGGAGAAGCTAATAAAAATAAGGCTCCACAAAGCATCCAAGAATTCAAAAAGTTGCCCCAAATGGGTGCATTTATATACATACCACCTAATTCTTATGTTTTTGCATATATATGTAAGACCTAAAATTTGATTTTTTTATTTGTATCATCCAAAATTTTCATCACATAAATATATAATTATTTTAACTTTTAGAAGTTGAAATACACCTTTTATACATTGGAAAGATTTTTTATGTGTAAAAAGTAAATTTTAGACCCTAGACATGTAAATATATTTGAGAAATAAGAATTGAGAGATATGCATGTAAAACTCCTTCAATATAAATACATACCGTGAGAATAAAGACATGTATTGTCATCAAGTAAGAACAAATACTCGCAATAGTACAAATAATTTTGAAGAAGGCGTTTAATGATGTTAAATTGAAACAGATGAATAAGCTTCTTGATTAAAAATCAAGCATACATTATAGCTTACAACTTGACAAAGATATAAAATATAGTAAAAAACAGACAAAAATTTGAAAAGAATTATATAAAACAACTATATTTAAACAAGGAATGATGAGACAAAATAGAGTAGTGCAGTCAAAAAGAGAAAGTACATCTTTACAAGTACTTTTATTTATTATTTTAATTTTTTATTTGGGAAAGATGAGGGTCACGCCTAGCTTTATTTATATTAAAAAAAGAGATATAGTCATAGACATAGTACAACACAACTTAAAATAAAGAGAAAACAACGCAAGAAGTAATAACTTAGAAACATAACAATAAATCCCAGATAATATAACATAAAATACAAATAGATAAGTGTCAATCATACAAAAACTCTAGAATTCAGCAAAATAATCTCAAAACAACTTCTAAGGAAACTATTAGTCAGCAACATCTTAAGAAAAAAACAATCTCTAATAACGCTCTTTAGTTAACAATATCTCTAAACAACGACCTCAATGAAATACTCTAAGAAAACAAAAGAACATCTTTTTGAATCAACAATCAAATAATCGTAAATCATCAACAATCTAAACAACAACCTTGAAACAAACTCAAAAGATCAAGTAAACAACAATATATTCTCAAAATTGTAACTATAGAACCTACAAAACTAAACCAAGCAAAATGAGAGCCCAAACAAACTACAACAAAAAATAAACAGAAATCTAAAAGATAGGAGAAAAGATTAAGAGAACCAAAATTAACGAAACCTAAAACAATCACAGAACAAAAAATATAAACAATCTGATGCAATACAAAGAGCAAAAAAAATCTCTAATATACACTAGAAAAAGATTTGAAACTTGAGAGAGCCAGCAAGAGAAGCAACCTCAAACATTAACAAACCTACCCAATCAAAACAAAATGGAAATGAAAATAAAATAATAATAAAATATGAACACAACTAAACCCAGGTCTAAAACCAAAAGACTCCATCAAAATTCAAAGAAAATAAAATCCTCTAAAACAATAATCTCAAGCAAGCAAATATGTGAGACAACTAAAAGAACTACACATATCTTACAACAGAGTATTCATCATCTAATTCTCAACAAACAATCTAACCTCTCTGTTAAGAGGTTTCGAAATTCATTTGTGAAACCTATAAGCCACAAAAGATCTAACTTTCAACAACAAAGTAATAAGTAGATAAGAACATTTTGTAACATTGTATCAAATGATGTATTTAGTACATGTTATAAGATAGGTTTTTTTTTTCTTTCATAGAGAGAGTACTTCAAACTATTGTCTTAGTATCCTTCACTATATTTCTAACCAATATGCTACGCATTCGAACACAAAAATAACGCTTAAGTGGGTTGAAAAAAGAAAAACTCTTTGATTCATGCCAATGAAAAAAAATTATCAAAGTGAGTGTCGCTGTAATAGGTGGTGCCATAAGTAGAAATCAGGGGTGACCATAGATTGAAGTAAGTGGTGGTAATGGCCGGATAATCATGATGACTAGCAATTAGAAATAATAATGACAATGTATTTAATCTACAATGTATTTGAAAATCATCCAAAATTTATAAACTTGGAATATATCAATTTTGAACAACATGGTAAACTTTAAATTAACAAAAAATCTACAATGCATTTCGTTTTTGTTGAACAAAATGCCAAAATTTCAAAAATCTTGTATTTGATTTGTTTTACTCAATTCATCTTGACAATCAACCAAATAATCAGATTTATTTTTAGCGAAAAATTAAATTTTTTTTGTCGAATGCATTAATGCATTGGACTTTGCTGCCTTAACTTCACTATACATTAAAGTTTGTTTTATTAAAAAATTAGGTTTATAATGTTAATTTAACTTTGTAATTAATGACTCATTGCATTAATTGACAAAACCTAATTAAAAAATTCAGAGTCAGAGTATTTTTTAAAAAATAATAAAAATAAATATCAAATTATTTATTTTGAGTTTTAATGTACTATATAAATAATTAATTAACAAATATAACATAATTATTTTTGTTACACTGGGTTCAAAAGGATGCACACTAATAATGTAGGACATTGCGAAATGATATGAACCTATTTTGTACTGAAGAGAAAAAAATCATATAAAAGCAATTTAAATAATATAAATAAGAGATGATATAATTTTATTTTAATAGCTAAAAACACTTAAAACAATTCAATAAGAAAGTAGGTCACCATCAGAAAAAATAAAATTGAAGGCAAAAATTGTAAAAATAAACTATTCAAACCCAAAAGAAATGTAATAGCTGGTACATAAATTAAAAATAACAAAAATAGATCTAATGTTGAATAAACTATTATAGCGACAACCTATCAAACAATTCGGTAAAATATCTCTAAGCAAATATTAAGATGTGAGTTTAATAAGTCAAACTCAGTATATAATCATTAATTTTTTTAGAAGAAAAATAGCAAGATATTTGGATATATAAAATAAAAAAATATGAATTAATATATTAATATATATTATCAAAAAGTGACTAAGAGTGTCAAATTTCAATGATACTATAATACCAAAATAAAAAACTTATATGCAATGAATTAGGGTTGATATAATAATATCTATGATTAATTACTTCATAAATTAAATCAATGGCAATCTATTTTACATATTTCAATACAATCATTTCCAATCTACTTTTATCTCATTATTACATGATTCAACAATCATTTTATTATACATTTACATTTTAATCTATTAGTATTTATTCAGTTTTGTTAGAAACCTTGAAATTAAGAAGGTAAACATCATCTCAAGGAAATTCAATGATTTCCTACAGAGTCATCATTTGTGGCATAATCAATCTGACTAATTAATATTCAAAAAGTTTCTACCAACTTATATACCACAACAAATTAAATATACAATTTTATAACTTAAAAAAAATTTATAAGTAATATAAAAAAATTTATCAGAATTCTAAATATGATTTTTGACTTATATTAATTTTTTCTATAATTAAACAGAAATAATGTTTATGAAAAGTAAATATTACAACAACAAAACATGAATCTGTGCAACAATGAATCAATATAATATATTCATGTGAGTTACTACTTCTATCATAAGCTTATAATCTTATAAAAGAGCAAAAAAAATAATATTGACAAACCCATAAAAGAATAAGAAACTAGATACAAATAATAAGGGCAATGTCCCTAAATGATGAAGAATATATTTATCCTCTAATAACTATTAGCTTCTTTCCTCAAGATAAACAATGCAAAACACATGGTTTTATGAGATTCAACCAATGATGACAAACAAAATTTTGCTTGCTTGGAGGTTCTACAACTAAAATTCAAATTATGAAAAAGAATAATATACGTGTAATTCATCTGATTTATTAATATCAATATGAGTGCATACAAAAACGGCTATAAATCGAGCATAACTAACTTGTATTACAATACCAATACCCAAATAAAATTCAACTCATATAATCTAATCATAATAAATAGTGAGATCTTAACAAGCCAAAGTATGATACAAAACAATCACTAGTATGTTACATTAATTTGATCATGATCTAGAATAAGAAAAAGAAAGAAGTGCAAGAAGAGGACACATTACATGTATATTCTCTTAATCTTATAGAAAAAAATCTAGTAGATATACAAATGGAAGCAATAAATGTCCGGTGGTGGAGGAAGGAGGAAGGAGTGAAATGAAAGGGAGACTATTGCTCCAAGCCCATATTCTTGTTGGGACTTGCCTAAATTTATTAATCGAAAGACAATTGACTGTACATTTAACCTTTTTCGTTTATTCAGTTAATAAGAACTGAGCTAATTAACTTTATATAAATGTTAAACATACTCATAATAGTGGAGTTCAGGTACTTTTAAATTTAACGGCAACATTATTAGTTAACAAACCAAATCAATGCCTGACTAAGGGTCCGTTTAGGGCAGCTTATTTGGTGCGGTGACATTTTAAAAACACACATGACACATTTGGGTAAACTGCGTTTTGACAGCTTATGTGTTTTCAAAAACGCTGAAACAGTGTTTTCTCACCGAACTATCTAGGTGCGGTGACAGTTTTCTAGCTGCGGTCTGACTTTTCTAAAAAAAATAAAAATTTGTAATAGTAACCGTCTCTGACTTATCAGCAGATTATTCAATAAGCTTCAGCTGCCTTAAACAGACCCTAAATTTATTTATTGTTGGACCACATACTAGACTTACAAACATACCACTC